GGAGCTCGAGTTGGCCACTGCTTGGCAGGTTTAATAGGATCAGGTCGGTGTAATCCCATTTCAGCCATTGTCATGCGGCCGGCCGGGAGCCCGAGCTGGGGGTCCGGGCCCTTTAAGACAACGCGCGGCCACACCAGAGACGCCGCCGCATGACAAAGGGCGCTTGGGATCCAGTGGCGGGAAATAAAGAGATGAAGGCCTGGGGGTGGGTGCCCGCCAGCCCTGGCCTGCGCCCGGGCGCGCTCGCGCTCAAACCCTGGGTCTCTGGCTCTGACCTCCGCGCGTCTCTCGGGGCTCTGGGGCTCACAGTTCCCCAGCGCGACCTCCTGCTTCTGCCCCTCGCGGGGTACGGGTGCCGGACGGCTGGAGCAGAAGCGGGGTCTCTGAGCCCCGAATGCCGCTTGTTCCGGACAGGGGCTGGAGCCGGGCCGGACCGCAGCGGCGTCCGGGTTGGCTGGGCAGGAACGTGCTGGTGGGGGTCGGCGAGGGAGTTAAGCCATGCAATGGGGAGGGGGCGCTCGCAGTGCGTGGGGGTTGTTGGTGACGGCCACCAGAGGAGCACCGATCAGCCCCAGGGCTAGACTCAGCAGAAGCGCAAAGGCCAGTTTGTGGAGGAGGCTTGGGACGCAGAGGGGGGCGTCCCCGAGGCCCGGGCTCCGCGCGGTGACTGTAGGAGCGGCGGACAGAGTCCAGAGCCGAGCCAAGGGCGCAGACATGGACTGCAGCCCGGGAGTGAGGAGCAGAGTGCAGGGTCTCAGGGACAGAAACAGGCACCTGTGCATGGAGCCTCCTCGTCCCAAAGGCTTCAGCTGAAGGGAGCAGTGGGGTCGAGAGCTCGGCAACGCAGCTGGCAGGGTCCCCGGCGAGGAAGAGGGGCCGCGCTCTGCAGCGCGCCGCGGCCGGGCGTTTGGGGGTCCGCCAGTGGGATCCAACTCTTGGGTCTCACGGATCCGGAACGGGGAAAACTCGTCAAAAAGGGAAGGGAACTCGAGTAACCACACGCGCACTAACACTTCCAGGAGTTCCGCGCTCACACACACAGGCTCATCACCTAGAGACTCTGGGAAGGAAGGCGCCTCCTGGGACCTCTGGGGCAGAGCTAGACGTTCCAGCAGCTACCAGGGTAGGGGCACCCTGCTGTGACCATGAGCTGGAGACCAGGGCCTGGGCTTGCCTGGCTCAGGGCAGCCTGTGCGCCCTTGGGAACCCGGGTTGAATGCAGACCACACAGACAGAGCAGCACAACCGGTCACCCCGCCCCAGAAACAGGTCCTCCCCAGCTCCCATGCCCAGGTCTTGCCCTTACCCATCTGGCCCTGCACCTCCCTGGCTGTCACCAACCTGGTGTGCCTGTGGTGCTGGCGAGGCACTGGGCCCAGGAGTTTCTGCCACACCTGTCGAGGAGCCTGACCTTCCCCCAAAGCCACGAAGGGCGAGAGAGGCAGCTTAGGTCTCCCCTTCTAAACTGTTCAAATAGGCAATCAATTTTTATGATGTAATTTATAATTTATGCAGGTTGTCTTCATACATATGGTGTTGCTTTTGTATGTCGGGGTTTCAGGTGCTTTATTACTCCGATGGTGTGATTTGCATTCACGTTCGGTTACCAAGATCATATTTCTCCTGTTTACACCATAAGGACCTGAAATGAAGATTAATGCTGCCTCTCTTTGTCCAGGGCAGCCCAGTAAACCTCACAAATCCCAAATCCTAGCTGAGGCACAACCTGCTGGAGTTGTGGAAGGAAGGAGACCTGGGGCACCAGAGGCTGGTGCCGGACACCTGCTCTGGCTGTGTGCACCTGGGCAGCAGCCCAGGGTCTCAGGGACAGAAACAGGCACCTGTGCATGGAGCCTCCTCATCCCAAAGGCTTCAGCTGAAGGGAGCTGGCCGTTGAGCCACATGGTAGCCTAAGTCTGGCAGTTAAAGGAGAGGGCACAGAGGCCAGTTTAGCTTCCAGGGCTTCCGCCCACACACTGTACCCCACAGCCAGTCAGGACAGCCACGGGCAGAGATAGGAGCCAGTGATCACCTGCTCACCATGCCAGGAGGCCAGCAGGTCCCCAGGCTAGAGAGCATGAGGATATCACACAGCTCTGCACCAACCAGGCCACCAAATACAGCTGAAATGACGAAGCCAATTACACTGGGACAAATAGAAGCAAGAGGAGAAAGTGTTGAGCCCACAGAAAGGGGGCAGTGGAGGTCAGCTATGCTAGCCGCCACAGAGGCAGGGGAGTCCTGCGAGGCAAAGTCCAGCTGGGCCCCCCACCCCATCCCCATTTAGCTAGAAGAGGCTGGCAGGGTGAGCAGGCCTACACAGTCTTGAGGATTCCAACGCCCAACATCAGGCTTAGAGGCCTAGGCCATTTCTCTAGGAGGGTACGCCCACATCTGACTGGGGTGGGGGAGGAGGGTTCAAAGTATGCTTGGTTTCCCAAGGGGTGAAGCCCTCACTTCCCTTCCAGGGAAACAAGGACAGGGTCACACAGGTCAGATTGCTCTTCCTATGGCCCCCCTTGGACTTGTGCCTAGGTGAGAGGATCTGGGGTGCAGACAGCCCCCAGGCAGAACACTGCATGGGGGGAGGCTCAGGTCCAAGGTGCTGTGCGTAATTATTTGATCTGCAGATGTAAGTGGAATTTATTGTAACAACAAATATAGTGATGTCAAAACCCAACCTTGGATTAAAGCCGGCAGCCAAAGGGGAAGTGTATTAATTTCCAACAGCATCTCAGGCCAGAGCCTATTAGAACAAGCTATTCTTCAGGCCCCCCCATCAGAATTAATCATTGGGAGTTAATTTGAAGCTCAGACAAGTTGCTGTTAATTTAGTGCAGGGAGGACGGGATGGAATAAAAAGCTGAGGTGCTGGCCGAGCCTCGTGGGTCTCATTAATCAGCCAGCTGAGACGGCCTGGCTTGATTACAATTTGCAAAAAAATTCATTAGGGCCTGGGCGATTGACAATTTTTCTCTCTGCCCGTGATGTGACTCATTAGGCAGCCAAATGAAAGCCATGATGACGGCCATGATGACAGAGGCCATCAAGCGCTGCTTGTTTATCTTCTTTCCCTCGGCCTGTCTCCAGGGCTTCGGCTCGGCTGGCTCCTGGGCACCATCGCGCTTGGGGTCAGGAGCTGGAACAGCGTCCCTAGAAAGTCAGGACAGCCTGTGGCACCTCCCTGACCCTCTGCTCCTGGGTGTCCAAAGGGCCAGCTGCATGGCCGACAGGGATGGGCACTTGGACATGGGAGGGGGCTTCCCGAAGGTGGCTTCTGCTCCCTAGGGAGCTTCCAGTCACCTGTGCCATTCACCCCTGTCCTGGGTATCAGGAGAAGGCTGGTAGCAAGTATACCTGTTACAGTGGCAGTGCATGGGGGTGGGGGAGTGGGATGGTGGATGGGAGTCACTCTAGGAGCCCAGGGACCCAGAGCCTGTATGGCAGATCCGGTGCTACTAGAGTTGGAGGCCATAGGTGCCTCTTGTCCCCAGGCTGGAGTCTTTACCAAGAGCCATAGTCCCTTGGGAGTGTATCTGCAGCCCAAGGACAGACTAGTCCAGATGGGAATTGTGCAACGAGGAGAGGACAGCCTCACTGCAGGTCTCAAATGCTGTGGTGCAGGAGTGACCTGCGCTACCCCAGCAGAAGGTGACCACCAGGGACCAGGGCTATGGATCCATATCTCGGGCGGGATCTGTAGGGAGCAGCCAGGCCTTGAGGCCCAGGCTTTGAGACTGGGGGTGGGGAGTCGCCGCAGGTCCTGAACAGGCTGAAGCTTTCCAAGGACCAGCTGCTCCATTTCATTGTGTTAGGGGGTAAAAAACCCACCACCAAGGCTGGGACCATTCTCCACCACCGGAAATGTTCCTAAGGCGGCGCAAATTGACCTGGTCTTTACCCTGCCCCTGAGTTTGGGGCGGAGGCTTCGGTCCCCAGGCCTATTGGCCGTGGAGGGCGGTAGGGGAGTGTGGGGAGGAGGGTGCCGGGCTGTGAGCAATGCGAATAGTAGCGCCGGGTCCCCCTTCCTTGGGCCGAGAACCACGGCGAGCGCTCTGGGGGCCTTTGCAACCAGCGTCCAGGCCTCCTCCGTTCACTTGCAAAGCTCAGTTGGCTGCCCCGCCAGCTTCTCTTGCCCCTGAGGTTCCTGGTTTGGTGTCTGGGAGGGTTCCAGTTCACCGCGACTCTCGCGCTCCACGTTTCTGGGACACCCCGGCCTCTGCCTCCAGCGTGCCCAGACTGTCGCATCCTGCGGGGCACTTTGGTGCCCGAGAGCCTCGGGGCCCAGTGTGGGGTGCGAGGGCGAGCTTGCTTCCCACTTCTCCCGGACACGCCCCTTCTGCGCCCACTGAGGCGGGCGGCACCCAGAGCCCGGCGCTCACAACCCCAGCGGGCCATCGCACAGCGCCCCTTTCTAGGGAACCTGGCCTGCAGTGGGGCGGTGGTCGGGACCGCCCCTTCGACCCCGCCTTCAGGGGGAGGTGCCGGTCCCCGCCTCCGGGCGGAGGGCTGCCGGGAAGCCGGCTAGCCTGGCTGTGTTCCTGCTCCTGTCGGAAGCTAACGCCCCAGCCTGATTTATGGACCCTTGGCCCAGCCGGCAGCGATCGAGCCACGCTGCTTTTCGGGTCGCTGCTGTGGAAAAGGGAAAGCGCCTCTTCCCGGGCTGAAGTAGAGTTAGCACCCTAAAGTTTATACAAAGCCCGACACTGCCAACGCTCACTTTCCCTGCCCGGGCACCCCTCGCCTGCTCTGGACCAACATCGCCAGCCCCCTAGCTGTGCAAAAAGGGGCCGTGTTGGAGCCCTAAAAAGAAAAATGTGTTTTCTTAAACCCATCACCCCATTGGCGATCTTGTCTTCCAGTTCAAAGCCCGCCACGGTGCTGTGTGGCTACTGTCCCCAGGTCAGCTGGACTGCAGGTGCTGGGTGGCCCAGGCCCATCAAGTTCTGGACACAGCTAGGAGGCCCACCCAGGTACTGATCTTTGTTTTGGTTTTTTTGCTCCTTTTTATTATTCACGAGACTGAGATTGTTTAAATGCCATAACTTATAAGAAAATAAGCTACACTGGAATAAATTAAACACAGTGGAGACCTGCCTCAGACAGGAGGGGCAAGCCCAGGAAAGAAAGCCAGGCAAAATCAACGCAACGCAAAGTAAATTTCCAGGCTGCCCAACCACGGCTGCTCTGCAGTCAACTCAAAAGCCAAAAACAGAAGCAAAAGTTAAGTTTAAACCCCAGTGCTTGTTCTTGTGTTTCATGTTTACCTTTGGGAAAGTATGGAATGGTGACTGCTAAAGATGGCAGAGGACCTCGGAGGTTTTGCTTTCTTCTGGAATGTAAGTGGAGGATCTTACTAGATAACTTGGTCCTACAACTTTCAAAATACTGCAGCTGAGATCCAGTGTATATAGATCATCTATGTACAAAGTAGGAGAGTATAATAAATATTTAGTGTATCTTCAGGTGTGGCTGTAGCCCCTCTAAAGCAGTCGGTAAGCCTGTTTCGTGAGCACATTCTCAACTCGCTTGCGATGTCCACCTCTGGAACGTGACTCTGAGTTCTGTTTCAAACCTAACGCGGCCCACTGAGCTCTCCCTGGGGCTGGGGCTTCTCCAGACGGGTGCCAGGCCTGTGTGCCCTCGCAGGGCCTCAGGGCCGGGCCTGTTCCAGCTGCTGATGCTGACTTCTAATAGCGAACCTGCTGACGTGCACGGGGATGGGGACCACAATCTTGGGATTCCTGGAGGGCTCTCCTGTCTTGGAGTTGGCGTTGCCTGCCTTCACGCGTTTCCACTTGGCCCGGCGGTTCTGGAACCAGATTTTCACCTGCACCTCGCTGAGTTTGAGGGCGTGGGCGATCTGCGAGCGCTCGGTCAGGGAGAGGTACTTTTTGCAGTGGAACTCCTTCTCGAGCTCGAGTAGCTGCTCGCTGGTAAAGGCAGTCCGCCGCCGCCGGTTCTTACCCGTGGATGTGGTGCTGCCTGCCGCGCCGCTGTTCGGCGGGGTCTCCTCCAGTGGGTGACTGGAGTCTTCTTCCTTGTGAGCCGCCTGGCCCGTCAGATTGTCATCCGAGCTGTAGTCCACATCGCTCTCCAGCGAGAAGCTTTCCTCCTTGCCCTTCGGGTCATCTTCCACCTTTGACTCGTCTTTCCCTTGCCCTCGGACAGCCCCGACTGAAAGCAAAAACCAAACGGCGTTTTATTACCTTTCGCACACCGCCTTCCCGTCCCCTCCGCACCGCCGTCACGGGGCACCCCCACCCCCACTTGGTGGATTGTCTTTCTATGACATTAACACATTGTGATTTCCTGGCCTTTGAGGCGAGAGAAGGAGGGGGGAGCGTGAGAAAGCTCAAAGGAGAGGAGGAGACAGCACAGGCGACAGCCCTTTGCCCAGATCCATCACTCAAGGGGCCGCAAGGCCTCTGTGAGCTCAGCCTGGGCCGATGAAGAAGTAGCTGGATGCGGAGACTCCAGAGAGCGCCGCCTTTGTCCCCGGAGGTCCGGGCTGGGGGAGGATCGAGGGGTCGTTCCTGATCCCTCTTGCTCTCCCATCCCTCCAACAGCGAAAATTCAGAGAAGTTCAATTTCACCGCAGCGAGAATGGGAGTGCAAATACGCGCGGATAGCAGGTTGTATCTTTTTGGAAACGGATAATGTTGGCCACAGGGTCGTTTGGTAGCCTTAGGAGAAGTTACCACCATATAGCTCAACACACACACACACACACACACACACACACACACACGCACATACACACAGAGCATCTCAGGAATTCAGTTCTCCCGCGCAAGCAGCAAGCCCAGCGAACGGGTTTTCTAAGTGTGGGTGCTGCTGGGCACAAACACAGCTGAGCCGCACGACCCAAATGAACACCCCTTAAGGCTGCAATTGACCTGGATGCCAGGTCCCGGCGAGGGCCTTGGAGTCAGCCGAACGCACCACATCAGCAGCTGGCTGGGGGAGGGGACGCTAATGTCCCCATAGCGACCTCGCTATGGAGCTGTGTTAAATGCTCCCCCGGGGCTTCTCGGCAGGGCTAGGGCGGGCGCGCGGTCTTGCCCCCAGGGTCCCCGCGGGAATCGGGAGTTGGCCCGCCCCTGTGTCCCGGCTATGTGACCCCGACTCACCCAGTGACGCCTGCACTGCCTCAGCAGCCGAGAAGGACAGTAGCGAGCCCTCCTTGGCCAGAAAGCCCTTGCCGTCCTCCGCGTCGGCTTGTAGCGCTTCCGCCTTGTCGAAGTTGCCGCTGCCGGGCAGCGGCTGCGGTGCGAACTTGCGGGCGGCCGCCGCCTCCTGGTGCTGGGGCGACGCGGAGAAGCCGCCAGGCAGCGTGGCCATGAGCGTAGAGGTGAGCGCCATGCCCTGCGCCAGGCCCGAGCAGAAGCCGGTGGGTAGGCTGGGGATCTGGTGGTGCGGGTGCGCGGGCGGGAGCGCAGGCTGCAGCGCGGGCGGCGGTGGCGGCGGTGGCGGCAGGACCACGGGCCGGTAGGGCATGAACATGGGATAGCCAGTGTAGACGAAATGGCCGGGGCTGGGCTGCGGAGGGCTGCCGATCAGCGAGTCTATGCTGAAGGCGGTGCTACTCCCCAGCGGGCGCTGCATCATCATCAGCGACGGCGGGAACGCTGCGCTCATAGACGCGCTCGGGAGAGGCCAGGGAGAGGCGAAAAGTCCCCGCGCCGCGCCGCCGCCCGGAGCAGCCCCGGGATCGCCGGGCCAGGGCCGGGCGGGATCCGGAGAGCAGAAGCCGCTGCCCCTCAGTCCTGGGTCCGCTGCATGCCCGGGATCCGGGGTGTGTGCTGGGCGCGGGGCGAGGCCGTGCGCCCCGAAGTGGAGAGGGCGCCCGGGCCCGGGGAGCTCAGTGGAGCGCTGCCCGCCGCCTGCGTGTCGGAGCCTATGCGCGTCGCGTCCACGGCTCTCGCCCTGGCCAACGGCTGTGCGTGTGTTCGTCCGTCTGTCCCGCAGTCCGTCGCCTACCGCTGGAGAGCGCGCGAAGTCGGCGCACTTGTCTCTGGCGGGCGCCACCAGCACCTTTAAATCGCGCTCCTCTTTCTCATTCACATTTTGCCTGCTGCCCAGGCGAGCTCGCCTCACGTGGGGCCGAACGCCGCCGCCCATTGGCTGCGGGATAGAGGCGGGACGAACCGGAGACCCGCCCCCTCCACCCAGACTTGCTGCAAGCGGGCTGCGGGCGCCACCATAGGAGAGCGCGGGCCTGGAACCCGCAGCCTGGCAAGCAGACCGCTCCGAGCAAACTTGCAAAGGGCTGAGGGAACCTTCTGGGCTCGGACGCCAGGGCCCGGCATTCCCGAAAGGTGGCTTCCGGGCTCCCCTCGGGCGAGTATGGGCCGGGAGCGTTGCATTTCTTTTATATTTGCTATGAAACAAGCACGTCTGAGCTCATCTTGGTGCTGGGTGTTCCGACTGCGCCAGGGGTCCAGGCAAGATTCCCGGAGTTGGCTGCAGGGTGCAGCCCTTGCAGATCCGATCCCGGGGTGCGGGCCGGAGCTGTGGACCCTGCGGCCTCCGGGAACTGGTGGAGTCGCTCGCGGAGGGGCGGGAGGCTGCTGTCTCCCCGCCCCAGGCCGGGCAGGTCTCTCCCGTGAGCAATCCGTTCTCATTTTTCTTGACATTCTTAATCATCGCACCTATTCACCCACTTTGCAGACGCGGACCAAAATAACAACCACGATAATTATGATAATAAAGCCAGTCCTTTATCCGCTCCATCCTCAGGGAGGAAGGGGAGGGGTGCTCTGGCTCTGGATTGTATAACGTGAGATTATCCTGATGAAAGCTTTATGATGTTTGCTCAAATAAAAGCTGCGTTTTGTAAATAGGCGCTAATTAAGCACTTTGGGAACGGAGGGAGCACTCACCCCGGCGCCGGCGCCCAGTTTCCAGCAAGAGGAATCGAGGGCTCACGGTCCCCCTTTTGCCGACTGCTGAATGGAGCGGATCCCTCGAGATATTTCCCCTGTATTGGACAATGGTAACGACCCCAAGGTGGTGGAGCCAGGGAACTGGGGGAGGGATGGGGTAAAACTAGCGGTGCTCTTACACCCTGCTTCCCGTTTTTACAAACTTTTGGCTCCGGAGTTCCCCTTACGTACACGAACAGTTTCGTGGCACCGGTAGACGATACAAAGCTCACCAGCGCGCCGAGTTCCACACGCCTCCAGGGCCTTAGCTTCAATTTCCCCGGTGGTAGATGCCCTCCCCAAGCCGCCGGCAGCACCGGCCACGGAGGAGGGGAGGGCATTGTCACATCGGTCATTAGAAATCAGCTCACGCGGAGGAGCTAGTGGTTGGGGAGTTGGCCCGTGTTGGACGTGTGTTATGTATCACTTACAAGCACATTTAATTGGGAGATAAAGACAAATCGATCTTTATGAATTTATCGACCAGATTCTTTGAAGCCCTTTTTTCCGTTCTTTCTCTTTCTCTCAATCTAACCCCAAGGCTCCCCCAGGGGACGTCTTAATCCCAGACCTCGTCCTTAGCCAAGAGCTGGCCAGACGCCCACTGCCCACCCAGCGTGCCCAGCAGGTAAGAGCGAGGATGAGTCCTTGGAGCTCCGGGGCGCTGAGAAAACTTGCCGCCCCGCTGCCAACCTCCCGCCCCCCATCACCCGGACAAAGACATCTACAGCGCGTTTCCCCACTCCAGGCCGCAGTAATAGATGGCTTCGGCAGCAGGCGGTTTGAAAGGAATTCATTAGGGCGCTGCCTCTGTTGCCTGAACTCACTTGAACCCCAGACCCCAAGGTGGCTTTGGCAATGTAAGGAGAAATTTATTCCCCTGGGATCTGCGGGGAAGGAGGTGTTTGCCAAGTCTCCAAATGCTGTCCCTTCCTTCGCAGGCCCGCAGAAGAAGAAAAACACAAAAATCGAAGCCCAGGGCAAAGGGCTGGTTCTTTCCTGAGAATAATAAGTATTCTCTCTCATTAAGAGATAGTTGCCATGACGGTATCGGATGCCATTATCTTATTTTTTCTAATACTAAGAATAAATTCTTCCCTGATTCATATTGTTACCAGGAGGTTCCTGCCCTGCTCCTCACGTCAAACCCCGGCATTTTGCCTGGGCATCATTGCCAGCCACACTTATTTCACCACAAAAATATTGTCCTCGTGGCTTCCAGTTTCTGATCACCCGGACAGAAACAGGGATTCCTTTGATTCTTTTGGTGATGGTTCTCCCTGTTAAAGTTCAGCAAAAAGATTTAGGTTTGCTGAATGATAGCTACACCTGAAATAATTTGATGACATATTATTCACGTCCATAAATTGCCCTGAAAGTATTGACTGCAGGGGTTATAATACTAATCTTCTTTTATTAGTGAGTTCAGATAATTCTCATCAATATGAATTTTATTTACTAGTGTGCTTTTCTCGAGTGCAAGGCAATAATATTTTCTCATCTAACGCTTAACTGCTTAGAAAACGCCTGTTCCCATCATTAAAGGAACCTCGCATTTCGGCGGGATCAGCAGGACCTTTGGGGCGCCTCTGCCACCTGCAAAAGCGTTCAGAATGTGGAGACTACAGACATCCAATGCCAGGAGAGTCCTCGGTTCCTTGGACAGACTTATGGTCAGGGAGTGGCAGGTACAAGGTTTACCCATCATTTGGATTCCTACCTGCATGGCTCAAATGGAAGCATCCTGAGTGACTGGCCTCAGCCCAGGCTTCAAGGGAAAACCACCCGGTACATATCTTCGCAACTTGGCTGGAGGATCCCTGCCACCTCCAGTTGGGAAAAGAGCAGAAAAGGCCCAAAGTGGAGGCTTGGGGTCCTCTGTTACAGTCCACTTCCATAAACTCTTTTCCTTTTTTTCTGTGAAGCTTCTCTCCTATTGAAGATAGGAGCACTGCACTGCATGGATGCCAGACAAGTGCCAGGACACTACTGAGCCACTTACAATGTTCAGTAAATGAGTTGCTGCTCGGGTTGGTTCTACGCTTCCGGGCTGTCCCAGGCAATGTCAGCAGGCAGGTGTATGCAGGCTGAGAGTAAAATGTAAAACGCACCAGTAGATGAATATTCATGCGGCAAACTTTCCGTGGTTCCCAAGCCCAGACCCCTGGAGGAAGCACTTGCACCACGCACTTGGAGCACTGCTCTGGGGCCCAGGTCTCCGGCGACTCGGGAAACCTACAGGCCTCGTGGGCCAGCCTCTGCTGCCAGCTCCCTAGACCCCTTCTACTGGCTGGTTCCTCCAGCAACGGCTTGTTTTCATATCTAGGGATTTTGAGTGGCCGGGTCATTTGGTCATTGCTGAAGCACTCGTTCCTGGCAATAGTTGGGAAATAACTTGGGATGGGTTTTATTTGTGGAAGGGCAATTGGGATTCACACCCAGCTCACCCAGAATAGTGCCTCCCAAGCCTGAGATGCACTTACAAAGGGGTTTTTGTGTAAAATTCCCCATCAGACACACCAATTTGCAAGTAGCAGAAAGCATTGAAGCCTCATCTTTTAAAACTATTTTATTCAGCTTATTTTTTTTTTTTTTAAATCTGAAAGCTCAAAATAGACTCCATGTGGTTCTAAGTGAAGTCAGCCCTTGGCTGGCTTTGAAATAGCTCCTGCAATTATGTAAAAGAGCCATTCACCAACAGGACAGAATTAAAAGGGATCTCGCCCGCTCGGCTTTCTTTGCCAACCTCTCATGTTTGGCTTTTCAAAGCACTTCCAACACGATGTCTTTCTCCAGGACAAAAGGCAGAACAAAAAAAGTTCCCAAACTTGTAAATTGAACGTCAAGGGAACTTTAAACAATTTAAAGCCCATAAATAATGATAAAGGGGACTGGCAAAAAAGGCAAACCCATTCAATTAATAGAGTTTCCCAAGCAAAGATCAAGTGGTGTATAAAATAAAAGTCTTTGCTTTCTTTATTCTTCTTGACCGTGCACAAAGCAGGACGGGGGTTTTCTAAAGCACCCAGAAGAAGAAGCGCTGTGGGGCTGGGTGTGCGGCGCCGGTCTTGTGTAGCAAGTTTGCTTTCCCTGCACCCTCCAAGTAGCACAAGCAAAACAGCTGCCGTCCAGAGCTGCGAAGAGGAGGGGCTTCCCTTCCCAGTCCTTTTCTCCAGGGAGTTGGAAAATGCCCTTCTCTAGCCTGAAGGCCAGCAAGTGTGACCTTTCACACCTGTGCCACCCCCCAACACACACGTCCAGGCGCGGGACCCGGCATACCACACCAGCGTGACCAGCCAGGCCAGACCTCCTGGGACCTGGGGCGAGAGTGGCTGTGCCGTCTTCACGCGTGGGAACCCTGGAGTGTGCGAGTGGTCGAAGGATTGAGAACCCAGGCGCGCTATAAACTGTTGGAGCGCGAGGCTCCCCTGCATTCCACGCGGGGCTTGACTCCCCGGGTGGGGGCCCAGGCGCCCCGGGGCTTCGGCTGGAATCCTTTTTCGGAGCAGCTCTAGCAGTTGGGGCTCGGGAGTTGGTGACAGGTCGTCTACAAAGCTTGCGCTCGCCGTGCTCTCGTCTCCCCGGCAGCTCCTGGCCGGCACTGGGGAGGAGGAAGGCAGCGCGCTCTCCAGCCCTCGGGTGTCTGGCCCGGGATCCGGACTGGGAGCCGGGAGAGGGGAGGTGGGGGGGGGGAGAGGGGAGGCGCAGGTGGGCCTGCAGGCTCTGCCCAAGGGCTGCGGGGTGAGGGTG